TATTTTGAATTTTCGTGCTAAGTTTTACATTAATTTTATGGAAAGAATCGATCTGTCAAAATGTGGATTTTTGAAATATTAGACAAATAAAGGCTAAAACCGCTAAAAACAACTCGAATCGGTGTTTTTGAATAAAAAATTGGGCGAATACAAATTTTTGTACACTATTTTTATATTAAATACACAGTACCTACAGTGTTATGTAAATCTCCCAAAAATGTCAAAATTTGACAGTTTGGACATTTGACAGTAAAGAAAATTAATTAACGTTTATTCTTAAAGAAAAATATTTTTTTATTATTTTTATCGACAATAAAATCAAAGAAGCCGATTTTTAAAACAAAAATTTTAATTATTTTAATTTTTCTTGTCGAAAAATCCAAGACGTGTTCTGATTGGTTGATTTCCAAAGACGTATTTGATTGGCTAAGGACCGAACAATGAGGCTTAATTTCAACGCATTTTTTTACTTTTTATTGGTCTAATAATCGAAAGTGCATGATTCATGTTGGCTCTGGGTTTGGCTCCACCCATTGTGCAAAACTAGATCCAATTAAAGTAAGATAACTCACACTACACGCTGATTTGTTATAAAAATTCTATTCAGAATTCAATAATTATTCAGGAGTTATTAAACAGAGTCGAAAATAATTTAACTAATTTTTGTTTTTTTTTCGAATGCTTTTTCAGCTAGAAATACAATTATTTAGCAAAATTTTGCCAAAAACAATCCAGAAATTCAACAAAATAGCCCAAAAAACGGCGTTTTTTGTCCTTCTTCAGTGTTTAAAGATGTTTTTGTGAAATAAAAACACAAAGAGTTCGAAATATTGCATTGAAACAAGCTAAAAAATTGGAAAAACCTAATATCTGAACTAATATCTGGTGATTTTTTTGGATGTATTTTTTTAGCATTTACATTTTCAACTAGAAACTTGATTATTTTATCATACTCAATTTTCAAAACAATTGAAAAAGCCTAAAATTAGTTAATAATATTTCTGTTTGTTTTTTTTTACAAGATTTTGCTAAACAGGATCAAAAATGATAATTTGTTTTTGTCATTTCCCAATACTTGTTTAGCTAGAAACACAAAAAACGGCGCTGTTTTTGCCTTTTTCAAGTGCTTTTTAGAAAAACAAGAAAATTCTAAAAATTTTGTTGGAGCAGGCAAACAAATTACAAAATTAAATCGAAATTGATATTATTTATGAACTAGAGATTCATATATTTTGCAAACTCTTGTCCAAACACGCCTAAAAATCACAAAAAGAATTGAGTTTGATGTTATTTTGTTTGTTTCACTCGATTTAACTGGTTTTTGAGCGAAATAATCCGAGAAACCACAAAGTTTGGCCGAAAATGCTTTTAAGCACGTTTTTGTAATAAATCTCAGGTCTTTCGCTAGGTTTCGCTAAAACAAACTAAATAATCAAGAAATTAAGTCTAAAATTACATAATTTTTTGCATTTCTCGAGCGTTTTAGCACGTTTTTCAACTAGAAACGCAATTATTTCGCAAAATTTTGTTGAAAACAAGTCGAAAAATTACAGAATTATGGCGAAAAGCATGTCATTTTTGCTTTTTTCAAAAGTTTTCGCGGTTTTTCTCTTTTTTGAGTGTTTGACGATGTTTTTCTGAGATAAAAACACAAAAAGTGCGAAATATTGTATTGAAACATTGAAATTACAAAATTAAATCAAAATTGATATCTTTTTTTAGCTTGTTTCGCCCGATTTACTTCGTTTCTGAACCAAAGGTTCATTTATTTTGCAAAATCTTCTCCAAACACATTACAAAAGGGGTTGATATTGATGATATTTTGTTTGTTTCACTCGATTTAACTGGTTTTTGGGCGAAATAATCCGAGAAACCACAAAGTTTGGCCGAAAATGCTTTTTTTCTAAAATTTTAGGTTTTTTTTACTAGATTTTGCTCAAACAAACTAAATAATCAAGAAACTAAGTCTTGAATTATATTATTTTTGCATTTCTCTGGCGTTTTAGCAGCTAGAAACGCAGAATTAGGCCGAAAAGCATGCCATTTTAGCTTTTTTTTTAAGAGTTTTAGCAAATCATGTAATGACTGTTTCAGCTTCCGGGGTCACCATTCCGCCCTGTAATAGTTGACCCCAATGCAGTGCGTTTGATTGGTGGTTGGAACCAGTTTCTGGACGATAACGGAAGACTTAAACTCCCCACCAAACTCGCTTTTGACTTGACCAATGCTGGCCCAGGAAATTTAGAATGCAAAATAGCCGGTCGAAAAATCAACACCGAGAAAACCGGAACTCGAGTCAGATTTGAAATATCCGGGGAAGGCCTCAACTCCGGTGAACACGATTTCGACATCAGACTAGCCAACATCCCCTTGCCACACGCCCCCAAAACCGCCATCTCTTCAGGCGACCAAGTGGTGTTAACCGGTCGCGGCCTAGCCAACGCCCAATGTGGCGAACCGGCCGTTTTTACCATCGATGGGTCTAAATCTGGTACAGGTAACCCAGAAGTGACCCTCCACGCCGCCGACTCCAACCTCCCCATCCCCGTGATGATCAGTCTCGCCGGCGAGAAAACCTGGAGGGCCACTTATACCATCCCCACTCCGGGCAACTACCTCCTTTCCGTATTATGGGCGGGGCGTCCTGTCAAAGGCTGTCCTCTATTGGTGGAAGCCAAAGGGGGGGCTGACGCCTCCAAAGTGCTCTGCTCCGGGGAGGGGCTGCGTCAGGGAGTGGTGGGGCGGGAAATCCGGTCCTGGATTGACACCAGAAGGGCCGGACCTGGAGAATTGACAGCACATTGCACCGGGCCTAGAAAAGTGGCCTATTGTGAACTCTACGATCACGGCGATGCTACTTTCACCCTAAATGTCAAACCTCAAGAACCCGGAAAACACGCATTGACTATTAAGTATGCAGGTCAGCATGTTCCGGGCTCTCCGTTCACTTTGAGGGTGGCCGGGGCGCCCGATGCTAGTAAAGTTCGGGTGTACGGTCCTGGAATTGAGCACGGCGTTTTGGCCACCTTCCAGTCGAGGTTTATTTGCGATACGAGAGGGGCGGGGGCGGGACAGCTCACGGTGAGGGTGAGGGGGCCGAAGGGGGCCTTCCGGGTGGAAATGCAAAGGGAGAGTCAGAAGGATAGGACGATTTTGTGCAAGGTTTGTTTCAATTTTCATGATTTCATAAATAAAATATTTTATCCACAATCACTCTATATAGAGACTTTATTGCACACTTTAGATGCGTATAAAGTACCACTTTATCCACTAGTGGAATAAAGTAACTTTATTCCACTGTACGTTTAACCGAAAGCACATTTGGCGTGACGTTTAAATGTCAGTTTAATTTTTAATTAAGTTTGGAATAATTTGGGCCTGTGATTGTGGATAAAACGTTATATTGCAGTCGTGTGTCGAACTGACGTTCTCGAGGTTAATCATTTTTGCGTGGATAAAACGCTTCCTAACACACTCTTAGAATAAATAACAATTTTTTTAGTATGATCCCACTGAACCAGGAGACTATCGTGTGGAGGTTAAATGGGCAGGAGAATTGGTGCCAGGCTCGCCGTTCCCGGTTATGATTTTTGATACACAAGAAGAACTGAGACGGTATATTAGTTCGTTGTAGACTTTTTAGCTGTTTCGTTGTAAAAATTATGTTTTTGTTTAGTTTTTTAAGTAATTTATGATGCAGAGGTACTCTAGGGGACTGGTTATTAATGTTATTTTAGAACTAAATGTTTTAATACACTTACTGACAAAAGTTTGTTTTCGTTTTTACTATGCAAAAAATGTATCAGCGATTCTAATAAATTATTACAACTTATCATTGTTTTTTCTTTTTCTCCTTTAATACAAGCAAATTGTAGTTCAAAACATTAAAACGGTTTTGTGAAAAATATTTAAAAATTGCGTACACTATCTGGAATAATTCTTATCGTCACAAATAATGTCATTTGTTTGATTTGATCAAAGTGGTCTGTGACTTTCAAATTAAGTTGGCAACAAAAAATCACTGCCTAGAATTTAAAATTTGGTTAGGTTAGGAGGTTGGTTTCTAGAAACAAAAGATATCGTAACTATAAATCCTGTCGGATTTGATTAAAAGTTTAATTTTTATTTAGTAAAGTGTCAATTGAGACTTTTCAAAACATTGTGCTACAAAAGACAGTTGGGGAGACTAAAAAAATGTCAGATGTTTTGGATTAAACTTGCAAAATAACATTTAAAAATTTCTTAAAGAAATGTGAAAAAATCTAGTGGCAACACTGAATCATTATAGAGCGTTTCAAAATGAATGATATCTCGGTAGGTCATGGAAATTCAAATTTAAGGTGGCAACATTTGTACTTTGAAAGTTCTAGGTTGTTCATTTTTGCACTATTGCACCCACTGGAATTAAGTGGTTTTTGTGCTTGATCCCTCCTATTTTCACATTTCTTTTGGACAAATAGGTTATGTTATTTTTTCAGACAGAATTCAACAGAAATGTCATTTTTTATGATATCAGGATCTAAAGAACGTTCACATTAATATTTTTTTTGGAACTAAAATTAAAGTCTGGTTTACACTCTCAAAGTCAATCAGGAAACGTTCTACAGTTTGTTATTTTAGAATGTTTCAAGTCGCAGATAAATGACAATTGTCTATAAAAGTTTGACTTTGAAAGTCAAAATAATCAAACTAAAATTTTTAATTTAACATCAAAACTTGAGGTAAAAAATCACAATCATTTACAGTCACCCGGTTTAAGATTTGTTAATTTTTCTCTAAGTGACAAACAAATCTATTGGCAATACTCAATTTTTGATACTCAAATTGTGTCATGTGACGGGTATGCCGGCGGCCGCCCGTCAGAATCGCATGACAATTGACTATGAAAATGTGACGTTTGTGTTTGACAGTCAGCACTGCCAATATTAAAATTTTAAGATGAAATAGAGCGCTAAATGTTAATTTTTGTGACATTATAACCTTACTAAAACTTGATAGCGTGAACGCTTTCACACCCGTTAAAAACGTCAATTTAGCCATCTTTGTCACGCGATAACAATTATTTTTTCCTGGAAATTGTTGGAAAATTTGGAAGCACTAAAAGTAGAAAACGGCAAAAGGTGGAGATTGAGTGAAAGTAAAAAACAAAAATTCAATCATAATTCTACAAAGTGGTTGAGTTTCATAGAGAAAAGTGCCTAAAATAACGTTTTAAAAAAATCACTAAGAGTGCGTTGGATTTCAATTTGACACTTCTGACAGTTGTTGACATTTCGCGACAATGGCAATGTGACTCACACTCTTCAAGAAAATCAGGCGAAAAATTTGTATTTTTTTGGAATCCACTGAGAAAATAAACTGACGAAATAGTCCCAACAATAATTTTTTTGTGGCTAATTGGAACAATTAATTTAAATTCATTATTTTTGCGTTTTTTTCAAGCAAATTGGAATTGAATTAGAACTGTTTTTTATGTGAGGTTTTTGCAAAATCTTGAATTTGATTGGTTGGATACATTTGTTAATTCCGATTACATGGACCAATAATAATCATTTCCCATTCACGTAATTACCACTAAGATGAGAATAAACCAGTTTTTATTTCTTATTGCAAAAACCTAGCAACGAAAAGTAACTCCACCCATTTAAAAAATCGTGAATAATTATTGAATTTTGAATGGAATTTTTATAACAAATCAGCGTTTAGTGTGAGTTATCTTACTTTAATTGGATCTAATTTTGCAGAATGGGTGGAACCAACCCCAGAGCCAATATGAATCATGCAGACCAATAAAAATTCAAAATTATTTAATGCGTTATAGTTGAGTGTCATTGTTCGATTAGCCAATCAATTACGTCTTTTAAAATCAACCAATCAGAACCACGTCGTAGATTTTTCAACAAGAATTTTTTTTTAATTTAAATAATTTTAAAAATTTTCTTTGATTTTATTCAACCTAAAAAATAATTATTTAAAGGATAAATAAACTTTCAAATTTTGACATTTTTGAAGATTTACATAACACTGTGAATTAAGTTCATTTATTTTATTGTGTACTAAAATTTGTATTTTGCTCAATTTTTGATTCAAAAATACCGATTTCACTCGTTTTAAGCGGTTTTAGAATTTATTCTTCGAAAAAAATTGAAATGTTTTGTTAAGTACACATAATTCGACAGATTGGTTCTTTATGTACAATCAGTGCAAAATTTAGAACAATTTGAACCACATCAGAGCCGTAATGAACAATTTTCTTTCAACGGGAATCCGTTGGACTCAAAAAATGCCCAGATGATTAAAATAGTGATATAAATAGTGATGATAAAAATATTTTAGAAACAACCAAATTAAACATTTAAAATTTGTATGCAAATCTATGTAATCTAAAACAATGTAGTTTTTGTTAGTTTCTTTTATCAGAAATACAGAAAAACTCAAAGGTGTTGATATTTTCAAAAATATGTTTACTCTATTACTAAAACATGATAGCTTGAACGCTCTCACACCCGTATAAAACCTTAATTTAACAATCTTTGATCAATTTTAGAGTGAAAATTTTTTTGATTTTTGTTGAGATTTTGCTCAAGTTTTGGCACCCGTAACGGTTTACTGCCAATAACTCCGGACTTATTGGTAACCTCTTATGTTTGGTATACCGTTGGATAGAAAATTGAATTTTCTATCATATACAAAAAAGATCAGCGCTCTACAGTAAATAGTTATCGAGAAATTTTCTGATAAAGTCAAAAATATCAAAAATATAAATACGTTTATAACTTCAATACTATTAAGAATTTTGCAGATTTTTGACGCCAATCGATTTCCCGGAACATTTTACATATATTTAGGTCAAAATATTGTATCATTGAAATACAGTTTTTTCGCAATTTACAAAATAAAAAAAGGAAAAATTTGTTAACACCCCCCGTTAAAATATCTCAAAAACTATGCATCGTAGAGTATTTTAACTTGTTGCATCATGTGTAGCTAATTTTTTAAATTTGACCCAATAACGTTTTATGCATTTTTTGAGTCTTTAATAAAATGCACAAAATACTCAAGTTTTGGGAATTTAGTACACACAAATACGAGGAAATTTGTTTGATAGTTAATTATAAACACACAGGTAACTACTTCCTCTTGTACTGAGAGATATTACTCAATGTATAATTTTGAATTTAATTTAAAAGTAAGTGGTCAGCAGTTAGTCAATTATTACGGCACAATTATTTTAAAACAGAAAAACATAGAAGTGATCAGGTATTTACTACGTATTTTTTTTTAAATTTCTCTCAGAAAAAGAAACATATTCTTTGATTCTCTGAGAAATCAAATTAACTATTAATTGATTCTAACAAATGTAGTGTGCAGGATGTGTCAACTAAGATTTTATAACTCAGTATTTCGATTGTTAATGAATGAAAAAATTAAACTTAAAACAGTTAAACGAAATTGTAAAAAAGAATAAAACATTTCTGATATCAAAAAAAAACAATTTTTTTTCACTGATTTGTTGTTTGGCAGTGATACCGAACTAAGATAATGGTTTAATTGTTAAATTTGGCAGTTGTTATTATTGGAATACATTTAAATAGTTATTTAGGTGACATTAATTTAAATAAGTGTTAATTTGAGTGCCAAGTGCGTAAATTATTAATTACTATAGTGCGGGTTATATTCGCTCACATTATCACTTTTGATTTAATTTTCCTAGTCCTAAACTGAAACCATTTATTAAACATTTATCGTTAATCGAGGTCGGTACTTTTGGCGTTTATTACTAATTACCACTTACCAGTAATTAGTCAAAAAATAGATTAAAAAACTGTGGTGCACCTTACTTACATAAAAAACATAAGAAATTGAAAGTAGGTAATACTATAACTTCGTGTTTGAAACTCAATTTGGACAATCCGTTTTAATTTTATTAAAAAAAAAACACCTAAAAATATCTTGACAATTTTTATTGAAATATAATTTGTTACAGGACATGATATACAGGGTGATCCATTGAAAACGAACCACCCTGAATATCTCAGAAACTAAAAAGATTTTGCAAAAACGCCAAAACAGGTCGATTTTGTTTCTGAGGGGGACATTTTTTGACGTAATTTTTAAATCACCCCCAGTAACCCTTTAACCCCCACGCACCCCAACTTTAAAAATTTAAATAGCACTACCCTACTTGTGGCACATGAAATAAAAGCTATTTTAACGAGTTTTTGAAAACTTTTTACCAAAATTAAATCAGACCATCCATTCATGAGATACAGGGTGTTCTAATAAAAACCAACCAGAACAGGTTAATTTTATTTTTAAAAAAGACATTTTTTGACACAATTTTAAAAATTTCAAATGACACCGACTCACTTGCGACAGTGTTTTTAAAATGTTCTTTGAACCTTTTTTCTAAACTTGAATGGGATTATCTACTCATACATTACATTAGCAAAAATAAAGTTTCTAATTAGTAATTACTTCTAATAAAAAATATTAAAATAAATTACAAGAAAGATACTAATATTGTTATAAGTATGTATTATTGAAGCTGTAACAAACTTATTTTTATTTTTTTATTTTATTGTCAAAATAATCGGTCTAAAGGACAGAGAGTAATAAAGTTTCTTGTAATTTAATGAAAGTATCTAAAAAATAGCAATACAGTTCTTAAGTTCCTTTGTACATACTGACTGCTAAAAGATTAATTTTTTGCCGATATTTTATGAATGTATAATAATCATTTCATTTTTGAAAAAAGCTTTTAAAAAGCATTTTAAAAGTGTTTTTATTTTTTGTATCACTAGTGGTTGGTGCTATTTGACATTTTAGAGT